ATTTTTACTTCTCCAGCTTGCTCCCGTTCCCAGTGTTACTTCTCCACTCCACACCCGCCCCCAGTGTTATTTCTGCACTCCACACCCATCCCCAGTGTTTCTTCTCCACTTTGCTCCCATCCCCAGTGTTACTTCTCCACGTCACACCCATCCCCAATGTTACTTCACCACTCCGCACCCGTCCCCAGTGTTACTTCTCCACTTTGCACCCATCCTCATTGTTACGTCTCCACTTTGCAACCATCCCCAGTGTTACTTCTCCACTCCACACCCATCCCCAGTGTTTCTTCTCCACTTTGCTCCCATCCCCAGTGTTTCTTCTCCACTTTGCTCCCGTCCCCAGTGTTTCTTCTCCACTTTGCTCCCATCCCCAATGTTACTTCACCACTTTGCTCCCGTCCCCAATGTTACTTCACCACTTGGCTCCCATCCCCAATGTTACTTCTACACTTTGCTCCTGTTGTTACTTCACCACTTTGCTCCCGTCCCCAATGTTACTTCCCACTTTGCTCCCGTCCCCAGTGTTTCTTTCCACTTTGCTCACCACAATGTTACTTCACCACTTTGCTCCCGTCCCCAATGTTACTTCACCACTTTGCTCCCGTCCCCAGTGTTTCTTCTCCACTTTGCTCCTGTCCCCAATGTTACTTCACCACTTTGCTCCCGTCCCCAATGTTACTTCACCACTTTGCTCCCGTCCCCAATGTTACTTCTCCACTTTGCTTCCTTCCCCAATGTTACTTCTATACTTTGCTCCCGTCCCCAATGTTACTTCTCCACTTTGCACTTTGTTACTCTATACTTTGCTCCCGTCCCCAGTGTTTCTTCTCCACTTTGCTCCTGTCCCCAATGTTACTTCACCACTCCACCCATCCTCATTGTTACTTCTCCACTTTGCAACCTGTCCCCAATGTTACTTCACCACTCACACACCCACTTTGCAACCCCCAGTGTTACTTCTCCACTCCACACCCATCCTCATTGTTACGTCTCCACTTTGCAACCATCCCCACTGTTACTTCTCCACTCCACACCCATCCCCAGTGTTTCTTCTCCACTTTGCTCCCGTCCCCAATGTTACTTCACCACTTTGCTCCCGTCCCCAGTGTTTCTTCTCCACTTTGCTCCCATCCCCAATGTTACTTCACCACTTTGCTCCCGTCCCCAATGTTACTTCACCACTTTGCTCCCGTCCCCAGTGTTTCTTCACCACTTTGCTCCCATCCCCAATGTTACTTCACCACTTTGCTCCCGTCCCCAATGTTACTTCACCACTTTGCTCCCGTCCCCAGTGTTTCTTCTCCACTTTGCTCCCATCCCCAATGTTACTTCACCACTTTGCTCCCGTCCCCAGTGCTGCTGGGCCAATCTGCACCCATCCCCGGCATTACTTGACACATACTTGTACCATCGTCCAATGCCTGGGCTCAGATTACCTCTTTGGATATGAACATTGGAAATATTCTTGAAGAATGTGAAATTATTCTCTCTCACGTTCTCCCCAGTTTCGGGCAAGTTTCCTGCACAGCGGTGATATAAAAGTAATTTTTTTTTCAGACGCTTTAGGATGAAAAAGAAAGAACGAAAAAATAATGTTGACAGCTTATTTGGGACTGACCCCAGGTACAGAGAGCGAGCGCGGAATAGTCAATTACAGTTGTCAGACGTCGCGGCACACAAGTCTCCTCTCCATCTTCATTTAGATCGTGAACGTCCGGGCCCTGCGTCATCGGAACACCGCGGGCCACGCGTCACGTCACACTGCGACACCAATTTGTACTCAGATAATCAGCATAGTCACCGCTTACAAAATACACCAACGCCGGAGGGCAAGTGTCAGACAATTGTCTTTGGTCTGAGTTCTGTTCTGCAGCATCGCCTCCGCCGCCACCGCTTCAGCCAATCAGGATCCCAATAAGTGCGTCCTCGGTGGCTGTGAGCGTATCTAAAACAATACAAACGAATCAGAAAAAGATCAGCCATAGATGTGACCAGGGCCGTGGATAAGGGGTACCACAAGTCCATCTGTATGGGGCCCAGGCCAGCAGGGGGGCCCAGGCAGATGGTGGGTGAATTGGATGTGGGCAGGGAGGGCGATCGGCACAGTGGGGGAGGGGGACTATTACTGGAACCGATCCCCTGTCTGGATCTTTCTGCAGCAGCTGCAAGCTGGATTCTTCTCTCCCCTCCTGCTTGTTTTCAGCTGCAGCATAGAGAGTCATACAGGGGATTGCTTCCAGTAATTGCCCCCCCCGCCCCACTATGCCAATCACCCTCCCTGTGAACATCTGATTCGCCCAGCCTTGCCTGGGCCCCCACAGTGCCGGCTTCCCTCCCCTCCCTGCCTGGGCCCCCACAGTGCCAGCTTTCCTCCCCTCCCTGCCTGGGCCCCCACAGTTCCGGCTTCCCTCTCCTCCCTGCCTGGCCCCTACAGTGCCAGCTTCCCTCCTCTCCTTCCCACAGGCAGCTGGTGGGTGAATAGGATGTGGGCAGGGAGGGCAATCGGCACAGTGAGGGAGGGGGGACTATTACGGGGACCGATCCCCTGTATGGCTCTTTCTGTAGCAGCTGCAAGCTGGATTCTTCTCTCTCCCTCCTGCTTGTTTTCAGCTGCAGCATAGAGAGCCATACAACGGATTGGTTCCAGTAATTGCCCCCCCCCCCGCCCCACTATGCCAATCACCCCCCTGTGCACATATATTTCACCCAGCCCTGCCTGGGCCCCCACAGTGCCGGCTTCCCTCCCCTCTCTGCCTGGGCCCCCACAGTTCTGGCTTCCCTCCCCTCCCTGCCTGGGCCCCCACAGTGCTGGATTTCCTCCTCTCCTTCCCACAGGCAGCTGCAAGCACACAATAGGATCCTTCAAGATGGAGACTGGGGGGAAAGGGTCCAATAATTAAGTCACATTAACCAGCCCCTTCCTTTCCTGAATGAACACAACGAATGATCAGCACTGATCACTCACTGTGTTCATTCACAACTGAAGCATAGTAAACTGTTTTTTCTTTTTAAAGGGGGCCCTTTCAAGTCAGCTGTATGGGGCCCCGTGGCTTCTTACAGCAGCCCTGGATGCGACCTGTGGTGAGACATGTATGGAGGCTGCCAGGGATGAGCAGAGGGAATCGATGTACCAGATGAGGGGTGTGATAGCAGCAGTGCCGGGACAAGGTCATCCAGTGCTCAGGACAAAGATGCCAAACTGCCCCCCCCCCCCCCCAGTTCATGATGTGCGAGCTTAGGGGACCCTACACCTAGTTACATAGTTAGTCTGGCTGAAAAAAGAGAAAAGTCCATCCGATTCAACCATTTAAAAAAAATGCAGTCAAAATCACTGCCACTGTCACTACTCCTGTCAGCCTTGTAACAGAAGGAAGGTGCCCCCCATCCCTAACAAAGGCGTCCCTAGGCAAGTGTTGGGGGTGCGCGCCACACCTACCGCACGGGGTGACACCGGACCGCTCCACGAAAAGGTAAGTTGTAAAGCAAGCCGACGATCCCCGCAGGATGGATCGGATCTGCGGATTGATCATAATGGATCTGAGTCCGATCCATTATGCTCCCCAATCTGCAGATCCGATCCATCCTGCGGGGATCGTCGGCTTGCTTTACAACTTACCTTTTCGTGGAGCGGGTCCAGTGTCACCCCCTATTGGTTGCATGCCGACGATCCCTGCAGGATGGATCGGATCTGTGGATTGGGGAACATAATGGATCGGACTCCGATCCATTATGCTCAATCTGCAGATCCGACACCTGTGACAGTGGACCCGACATCTGTGACACGGCATCTGTGACACCGGGACCCGCTGCACGATCCATCGTGCGGGGGATCGTCAGCATGCAACCTATACGGGGTGACACCGGACCCGCTCCACGAAAAGGTGATTTGTAAAGCTCTCCCTGTGTCTGCGTGGGTTTCCTCCGGGTACTCCGGTTTCCTCCCACACTCTAAAGACATGCTGGTAGGTGAATTGGCTCCTGTCTAAATTGGCCCTAGTCTGTGTATGTATGAATGTGAGTTAGGGACCTTAGATTGTACGCTCCTCGGGGGCGGGGACTGATGTGAATGTACAATATATATATAAAGCATTGTGCAAATTGACAGCGATATATAAGTACCTGAAATAAATAAATAAAGCAAGCTGACAATCCCCGCAGAATGGATCGGATCTGCGGATTGAGCATAATGGATCAGAGTCCGATCCATTATGCTCAATCCGCAGATCCAATCCATTCTGCGGGGATCATCGGAGGGGGTGTCACCAAGTGTTATTGCACTGGGTGACACCAACACTAGGGACGCCCCTGATCCCTACATTAAACCATTGCACAAGGGCAGCCGTGCCTTCCGCCCCACCCCTTGTCCCGGCCCTGGATAGAAATGGACCGATAAAATTGAAGGTTGGTTCCTTCCAGAAAGCAGATCATAGTTACATAGTTACATAGTTACATAGTTTACATAGTTAGTCTGGCTGAAAAAAATAAAAGTCCATCCAGTTCAACCATAGAAAAAAAAAAAAAAAAGTTATAATCCTCCACCCACAGTTGATACAGAGGAAGGCAAAAAACCAGCAAAGCACGATCAAGATCCGTGGCTGAAATATAGTATACATGCATATAATCACTGCACTAAAGGCAAAACATTAACCCCTCGCCCTCCTGAGGATCCCCCCCCCCCCTTCCTGACTTGGCCATTTTTTTGCGATAAGGCGCGGCATTACTGTAACTTAGAATTGCGCAGTCATGCAACGCTGCACCCAAATGAAATTTACGCCCTTTTTTCCCCACAAATTGAGCTTTCTTTCGGTGGTATTCAAACGCCTCTGTGTTTTTCATTTTTTGTGCTATAAAAAAAAAATTCGACAATTTTAAGAAAAATCGAAAATCGGCCAATGCCATTGCCTCACTAACAAAGCGAAAATCAGCCAATTATTCTTAGGTCCAAATTTTGAATGAAAATGGCCAGCATCACATCGCAGCACCCAACCTCAGTGCTCCTCTCAAGAGCGCCCTCACTCCTGATACAAACGGTATGAGGAGTTATGCAAATATAAAAGTTCCTTGATGGGTAGGTGTCAGTCTGGAGGAGTGTGAGCCTCCATGATTGAAAGAATTGAGAACCAATGAATGAAAGGGGCGGGGCTAGGTACAGTCAGGCTGGGGGGGAGAGGTCTAGATCAGGGGCGTCAAACTGATGGCCTTCCAGGTGTTGTGAAACTACAAGTCCAATCATGCCTCTACCTTTGGGAGTCATGCTTGTAACTGTCAATCTTGCAATGCCTCATGGGACTTGTAGTTTGGCAACAGCTGGAGGGCCGCCAGTTTGACACCTGTGGTCTAGATAATGCTGGACGTCCTCCAGCCAGGAAATGAGGTGGAGCTCTAGATTAGAAGGCGGAGCTCTATCTGACTTGCTGCAGCTTCTAATGCACACTGTGTGAAGGTCACAGTGTGCGGTGAAATCCGAGGAAACCGTTTCAGTCCAGGGGAGGAGCCGGTACACCTGTGCAAAACTGAAGGGGAAGAGCCGGGACACCTGTGCAAGACTGAAGGGGAGGAGCCGGGACACCTGTGCAAGACTGAAGGGGAGGAGCCGGTACACCTGTGCAAGACTGAAGGGGAGGAGCCAGGACACCTGTGCAAAACTGAAGGGGGAGCCGGTACACCTGTGCAAGACTGAAGGGGAGGAGCCGGTACACCTGTGCAAGAGAAGGGGAGGACCGGTACACCTGTGCAAGACTGAAGGGGAGGAACTGGGACACCTGTGCAAGACTGAAGGGGAGGAGCTGTGACACCTGTGCAAGACTGAAGGGGGGAGCTGGGACCTGTGGTGCAGGGGAGGAGCAGGTACACCTGTGCAAGACTGAAGGGGAGGAGCCGCTACACCTGTGCAAGACTGAAGGGGAGGAGCCGGTACACCTGAGCAAGACTGAAGGGGAGGAGCTGGGACACCTGTGCAAAACTGAAGGGGAAGAGCCGGTACACCTGTGCAAGACTGAAGGGGAGGAGCCGGTACACCTGTGCAAGACTGAAGGGGGGACCGGTACACCTGTGCAAGACTGAAGGGGAGGAACTGGGACACCTGTGCAAGACTGAAGGGGAGGAGCTGTGACACCTGTGCAAGACTGAAGGGGAGGAGCTGGGACACCTGTGCAAGACTGCAGGGGAGGAGCAGGTACACCTGTGCAAGACTGAAGGGGAGGAGCCGCTACACCTGTGCAAGACTGAAGGGGAGGAGCTGGGACACCTGTGCAAGACTGAAAGGAGGAGCCGATACACCTGTGCAAGACTGAAGGGGAGGAGCCGATACACCTGTGCAAGACTGAAGGGGAGGAGCCGGGACACCTGTGCAAGACTGAAGGGGAGGAACCGGTACACCTGTGCAAGACTGAAGGGGACGAGCCGGTACACCTATGCAAGACTGGAGGGGGGGGGGGCGCAGGGTGGATTTAAATCTTCCATTTCCCCGATCCTGTCTGATTGTTTGTTCTGTGCGGTGTATCGGGAAAAGTCATTTCACGGCGTCTCAATTTGTTTACGCTATTAAAAGCTGTGATTTCATGGCACTGAATGTGCTGAGCCTGTGAACTGCGTACAGAATTCAGATTCCTGCTGATTGAAGGTGAACGGCTCCGTAGTTCCAGAGTTTACATTGTCGCATTCTGTTGTAAGGTCGGATCTTTAAGGTGGGGGTCACATTTTTTTTTCTTGCTTTCTATCTGCCCTAGAAGTGACTAATGTTATCCAGATCGCCGTCAAATCGCTTCCATGCGCTCCTATATGTGTCCCCCCCCCCCCCCTCCAATGCGCACACACATGCACCTCCTCCAGACCTAGCACCCGGGGCGAAGAAGCCAACCAGCACCCCTACAAGGTGTATGAGCATCATGTGTCAGCAAAATCCCCCCCCCCCAAAAAAAACCCCAAACTAAGCACTAATCTGCACCCCCCCCCCCAAGCCAAAAAATTCTCCCCAAACATATATTCCCCCTCCTCCCAGGATTAAAAATCCACCCCCTTAAGAAATTCCCCTTCCCAGCACAAAATTGTGCCCCCCTCCATCCCCCCTCCCCTCCTGCCACAATCATCCTCCAAAAACTCCCTTCCTAACAAAAATCCCTCCTCCCTAATCACCCCTTCTAGCACCTCCCCCCTAAATCCCCCTCTTAATACGAATCCACCCCCCCCAGCACAAATCAACCCATCTAGTACATCCCCCCAAATTTCCCCTCCTAAACAAATTTTATCCCCTTGCCAACTCAACATTCCCCCTCCCAGCACAAGTCCCCTAGTCCCCTACTTCACCCCCCCCCCCCCCACACACACAAGCCCAGCACAATCCTTTTTCTCCCACCATCCCCCCACCCAGCAGAAATCCCCCCTAAATCACCTCTTCTAGCACAAATCATCCCCCCTCAGCGCAAATCAAACCCATCTAGTACATCCCCCCAAATTTCCCCTCCTAGAACAAATTTTATCTCCTGCCAACTTCACATTCCCCTTCCCAGCACAAATCTCCTACTCCAATTCCCCCCCCCCCCTACACACACACACAGCACAAATACTGTTTCTCCCACCAACCCAGCAGAAATCCCCCCTTAATCACCCCTTCTAGCACCCTCCCAATCCCCCTCTTAGCACAAATCCTCTCCCCCCCAACCTTGTGATAGAGCCGACTGGGACAAAGGCTTTTGGAGGGGACTGCAGGCTGGCCTCTTGCCTACTGACTATGGCCCTGGCATCTGAGGGGGCTCTATTGTTTAATGTGTGCCTGGGGGGGACCTTTGGAGTAGTTTACTAGGGATTCAAGTCCATGTCTCCCCAAAGCACACAGACTGAAAACTGGAGGACCAACATACAGATTTGGGGTCTCTGTGCCCAAACCAGCATTGACTGCTTCAACCCCCCTCCTGGGGATGTTGCTGTAATTAGCAGAACCCCACCCGATGTGAGGACTCTCGCTCTAATGTGTTTATTAAGGTGTTGAGTGTTTACTATCTTCTCCCATTGGGTGCCCCCCAGGTGTGCATTCCCATCGTTAACTGAGTCACCTATGGTGGGACTGTTGGCTAGTCCTCTTGGAGGCTCCTACATGATGAGATTAGACTGATGTCAGCTTCACCTCGTTATCTAATCAGTGTGGGATGTAATATTTGTTTTATTGCTCATGTGGGGACACTGCCCCCATTTCTGAGTGTCTAAAAATCGGTGTTTTCTGTTCAAGAAAGAGTTCCAGTTTGCTAATGTCGCCCAGTCTTGGGTGCAGTGGCCGATTGTCTGTATAGTACCTCTGCTGGTATGATGGGAGCTCCGAAGGCTAGTACCAGGCTGGAAGAGAAACAGAGGAGCCCACAGGCTGTTGGGGCCTGGAGTAATTCCCCCCGGGAAAACTGGAGGGGCCCAGTTCCTCCTAATTTGAACGGATCTACCTTGTCTGGCCAGGGGTCGGTAAGGCAGATAGCCTGCGGAGCAGTGCCCCAAGTGGTCTCTTCAGGGGTGCTCTTAGTAGCACATGGGAGTGGGATCCCACCTGGGGCGGACTAACCATTTTTGAGCACTCGGGCACTGCCCAAGGGCCGGGGTCAGTAGGGGGCCCCATGAAGTGCCCCTGGCACTTTTTATAGGCTTTTTTGGGTGTGCTTTGAGTGTCAGCATGGACAAAGGGGCCCCATGATCCCCTATTTCCCGGGGGCCCCATGAGTTGTCAGTCCGCCCCTGGATCCCACGTGTGAAAAGTGCACATGGTCACTGTTCCAAACACTTTTTCTGCACTGCGCCTTTTAGGACCTCTTGGCTAAGTCCAGGGCAATTTTTTTGCTACGTGCCTCAGGGCCTAGCCGGTGCACAATTGTACGGTCACTTATTTACAGTTGCAAGAAAAAGTATGTGAACCCCTTGGGATTACGTGGAGTTTTTGCATGAATTGGGCATAAAATGTGCTCTGAACGTCATCTAAGTCACAACAATAGAAGAACACAGTCTGCTGAACATAATACTACACAAACATTAGATGTTGCCATGGTTTAATTGCACATAACATGTACACATTCACAGTGCAGGGAGGAAAAAGTATGTGAACCTTTGGACTTAATAACTGGTTGACCCTCCTTTGGCAGCAATAACCTCAACCAAACGTTTCCTGTAGTTGCAGATCAGACCTGCACAACGATCTGGAGTCATTTTGACCACTCACTCTTCACAAAACTGTTTCAGTGTAGCAATATTCTTGGGATGTCTGGTGTGAATCGCTCTCTTAAGGTCATGCCACAGCATTTCAATGGGGGTTGAGGTCAGGACTCTGACTGGACCACTCCAGAAGGCGTATTCTGTGCTGTTGCAGCCATTGTTTTGTTGAATTACTTGTATGCTTTGGGTCATTGTCCTGTTGCATCACCCAGCCCTCTGCGGAGCTTCAGTTGGCGGACAGATGGGTCGTACGTTTTCCTGCAAAATGTCTTGATAAACTCTGGAATTTTTTTCCCATCAATGACAACAATCCGTCCAGGCCCTGAGGCAGCAAAGCAGCCCCAAACCATGATGCTCCCTCCGCCATGTTTCACAGTGGGGATGAGGTTTTGATGTTGGTGTGCTGTGCCTTTTTTTCTCCACACATAGTGTTGTGTGTTCTTCCCAAACAACTCAATCTTGGTGTCATCTGTCCACAGTATATATTTTGCCAGTAGTGCTGTGGAACATCCAGGTGCTCTTTTGCAAACTTCAAACGTGCTGCAATATTCTTTTTGGACAGCAATGGCTTCCTCCGTGGTGTCCTCCCATGTACTCCATTCTTGTTTAATGTTTTCCTTATTGTAGATGTGTCAAAAAAATTGTTAGCATGTGCCAGAGATTTCTGTAGGTCTTTAGCTGACACTCTGGGATTCTTCTTTACCTCATGCAGCATTCTGCGCTGTGCTCTTGCAGTCATTTTTTACAGGACGACCCCGCCTAGGGGAGAGTAGCAACAGTGCTAAACTTTCTCCATTTGTAGACAGTCTGTCTTACCGTGGACACATGAACATCAAGGCTTTTGGAGATACTTTTGTAACCCTTTCCAGCTTCATGCAAGTCAACAATTCTTGATCGTAGGTCTTCTGAGAGCTCTTTTCTGCGAGGCATGGTTCACATCAGACAGTGCTTCTTGAAACCAGTAAACCCAAAACAGGTGTGTGTTTTTTAAGGGCAGGACAGCTGTCAGCAACACATCCAATATCATCACACTGATTGGAGTCAAGGTTGGCTCACTCCTGGCTCCAATTAGCTCTGGGAGAAGTCATTAAGCTAGGGCCTCACATACTTTTTCCTCCCTGCACTGTGAATGTTTACATGTTATGTGCAATTCATGGCAACATCTAATGTTTGATGGTATTATGTTCAGCAGACTGTGTTCTTCTATTGTTGTGACTTAGATGACGTTCAGAGCACATTTTATGCCCAATTCATGCAAAACTCCACGTAATCCCAAGGGTTCACATACTTTTTCTTGCAACTGTATTTATTTTTCCCCCACGTTTTTGTCACCTTTCACTTTTGTGTGTGTTTTATTCCTCACTAGGATGGAGGGTGGGGGTCCTCAGGCCTGCCCTGAAGTCTAGGGGGAAGATGATTGTGGCCATCAGGTTGCTGGGGGAGGTCTCTCTTCGGGTGAGCCCCCTGATCTAGTACTTGGTGGTCGGCTTTGGCTAGCCTCAAGGAAAGGGGTCCACCAGGCCTTTTGGCCAGGTGGACCGGAAACCTTTGTCCCTGTCAGGAGCCTTGCGCCCCGGGGAATCAGGGTAGAGGTCCTACCCCTTCGGTGGGTGGACTACAGCACACCCCTAAGTGCACTTTTTTGTGTTTTGCACTTGCACGTTTTTTGTCCACTTATGGGTTTCCTTTTTTTCACAAAAAAAAATCTGTGGGTGCAATGCCAGGCTATAATACCTTGGTCCTGTGTCCCGGTGGAGGAAGCAGTTCTCTGATGGATGGCACAAGTTGGGCGCCAGGCGTTCCGCCACAGACCTAATAAAGTGGCCAGTGAGTGTAAGTTGCTTCATCGCTGCCGGTGCAAAAACCCAAATTCAGCTCAGCCATCCGAGGTTGGAGAAAGGGTTAAATTCAGCGGAGTCTATCTTCTATGCTGTACATTCTCCTCCTGTTATGGCCATATTAATATTTTATCAGGTTAATCAGCGCTGTGCAGAACAGCAGGGACGCGGGGGGCGATATCTGGCCGTGTTTGGCCGCGGCGTCATGTTGTACTTATTAAATAAACCTGAATAGCACCACCGGCATTTCTCCTTTTTTATGTCCCTCGGCTCCCTCATCAGTATTTCTTTGGAATGGCTGAATCAGAGAACGAGGACAAACGGGATTCCTCCATCGGCGGCCCGCTAGTATTGGAGGTGGCCTCGTTATCTGGTGACAGTGACGCT